TTGAGGTAATACGTACATGTAGGTAGGGGAAAAGTGACTATGCATAGATAATAAACAGTGAGTAGCAGCAGCTCAAAAAAGGGGGCAATGCAAATAGTCCGGGTAGCCATTTGATTAACTGTTCAGCAGTCTTATGGCTTGGGGGTAGAAGCTGTTAAGGATCCTTTTGGACCTAGACTTGGCGCTCCGGTACCGCTTGCCGTGCGGTAGCAGAGAGAACAGTCTATGACTAGGGTGGCTGGAGTCTGGCAATTTCCAGGGCCTTCCTCTGACACCGCCTGGTATAGGGGACCTGGATGGCAGGAAGCTTGGGCCCAGTGATGTACTGGGCCGTACGCACTACCCTCTGTGGCGCCTTGTGGTCGGAGGCCGAGCAGTTGCTATACCAGGCGGTGATGCAACCAGTCAGGATGATCTCGATGATTCAGCTGTATAACTTTTTGAGGATCTGAGGACCCATTCCAAATCTTTTCAGCCTCCTGAGGAGGGGGAATAGGCATTGTCGTGCCCTCTTCACGACTGTCTTGGTGCGTTTGGACCATGATAGTTTGTTGGAGATGTGGACACCAAGGAACTTGAAGCTCTCAACCTGCTCCACTACAGCCCCGTCGATGAGAATGGGGGCGTGCTCGGCCCTCCTTTTTCTGTAGTCCACGATCATCTCAGATGTGTTGTTGCCTACCCTCACCACCTGGGGGGGGGGGGGGGGGGGCGCATCAGGAAGTCCAGGTTCTAGTTGCAGAGGGAGGTGTTTAGTCCCAGGGTCCTTAGCTTAGTGATGAGATTTGAGGGGACTATGGTGTTGAACGCTGAGCTGTAGTCAATTAACAGCATTCTCACGTAGGAGTTCCTTTTGTCCAGGTGGGAAAGGGCAGTGTGGAATGCATAGAGAAACAACAAAATTGGATGTTCTGAGTCCATGTCAATGCTTAAATCACATTAGAATACCATTTTGGGGGGGGACTGGAAGAAAACTAACACATTTAGATTTTTTAGTGCAATTCCCCTTTAATTGTGCATCTGGCCCTTTAATTGCAAATTTAGTGAGTGAGGAATGTGCCATTTAAAGTGCTGGTCTAGCGTTGGTTCTGTACTCATTTATTTGCAGTTAACATTTAATTGAGAAGGTTTTGGGGAAAGTATTTCTGTCAACCCACAAGACGGTTATCACATGAACTGGCTGGCTACACACTGGCTGGCTACTCCCGAGTGGCGCAGTGGTCTAAGGCACTGCATCGCAGTGCTAGCTGTGCCACTAGAGATCCTGGTTCGAATCCAGGCTCTGCTGTAGCCGGCCGCAACCGGGAGACCAATGGGGCGGCGCACAATTGGCCCAGCGTCGTCCAGGGTAGGGGAGGGAATGGCCAGCAGGGAGGTAGCTCAGTTGGTAGAGCATGGCGTTTGCAACGCCAGGGTTGTGGGTTCGATTCCCATGGGGGGCCAGTATGAAAAAGAAAAGAAAAAAGAATAATGTATGCACTAACTGTAAGTCGCTCTGGATAAGAGCGTCTGCTAAATGACGTAAAATGTAAAAATGTAAAAAAAAACACAGAGTGACAAACAAACGCATGCACCACACAGACACAGGGGCAACATTGCTGGAAATTAATTGGCAGATATTGTTTTAGGTTTGGCTTTCTAAGCCAATAGTGGCTAACTAGGGGTGGGATAATGTCAATGTTGCGTTGATTAGATAGTAGCTGGGAGCTTGTGGTGCCAGATACAGTTGAAGTCGGAAGTTTACATGCACTTAGGTTGGAGTTATTAAAACTCGTTTTTCAACCACTCCACAAATTTCTTGTTAACAAACTATTGTTTTGGCAAGTCAGTTAGAACATCTACATTGTGCATGACACAAGTAATTTTTCCAACAATTGTTAACAGACAGATTATTTCACTTATAATTCACTGTATCACAATTCCAGTGGGTCAGAAGTTTACATACACTAAGTTGACTGTGCCTTTAAACAGCTTGGAAAATTCCAGAAAATGATGTAATGGCTTTAGAAGCTTCTGATAGGCTAATTGACATCATTTGAGTCAATTGGAGGTGTCCATGTGGATGTATTTCAAGGCCTACCTTAAAAACTCAGTGCCTCTCTGCTTGACATCATGGGAAAATCTAAAGAAATCAGCCAAGACCTCAGAAAAACAATTGTAGACCTCCACAAGTGTGGTTCATCCTTGGGAGCAATTTCCAAATGCCTGAAGGTACCATGTTCATCTGTACAAACAATAGTACGCAAGTATAAACACCATGGGACCACGCAGCCGTCATACCGCTCAGGAAGGAGACGCGTTCTGTCTCCTAGAGATGAACGTACTTTGGTGCGAAAAGTGCAAATCAATCCCAGAACAACAGCAAAGGACCTTGTGAAGATGCTGGAGGAAACAGGTACAAAAGTATCTATATCCACAGTAAAATAAGTCCTATATCGACATAACCTGAAAGGCCACTCAGCAAGGAAGAAGCCACTGCTCCAAAACCGCCATAAAAAAGTCAGACTACGGTTTGCAACTGCACATGGGGACAAAGATCGTACTTTTGGGGGGAATGTCCTCTGGTCTGATGAAACAAAAATAGAACTGTTTGGCCATAATGACCATCGTTACGTTTGGAGGAAAAAGGGGGACGCTTGCAAGCCGAAGAACACCATCCCAACCGTGAAGCACGGGGGTGGCAGCATCATGCTCTGGGGGTGCTTTGCTGCAGGAGGGTCTGGTGTACTTCACAAAATAGATGGCATCATGAGGAAGGACAATTATGTGGATATATTGAAGCAACATCTCAAGACATCAGTCAGAAAGTTAAAGCTTGGTCGCAAATGGGTCTTCCAAATGGACAATGACCCCAAGCATACTTCCAAAGTTGTGGCAAAATGGACAACAAAGTCAAGGTATTGGAGTGGCCATCACAAAGCCCTGACCTCAATCCTATAGAACATTTGTGGGTAGAACTGAAAAAGTGTGTGTGAGCAAGGAGGCCTACAAACCTGACTCAGTTACACCAGCTCTGTCAGGAGGAATGGGCCAAAATTCACCCAACTTATTTTGGGAAGCTTGTGGAAGGCTACCCGACACGTTTGACCCAAGTTAAACAATTTAAAAGGCAATGCTACCAAATACTAATTGAGTGTATGTAAACTTCTGACCCACTGGGAATGTGATGAAAGAAATAAAAGCTGAAATAAATCCTTCTCTCTACTATTATTCTGACATTTCACATTCTTAAAATAAAGTGGTGATCCTAACTGACCTAAAACAGGGAATTGTTACTAGGATTAAATGTCAGGAATTGTGAAAAACTGAGTTTAAATGTATTTGGCTAAGGTGTGTGTCGTCTCCTGAGTGGCGCAGTGGTCTAAGGCACTGCATCGCAGTGCTAACTGTGCCACTAGAGATCCTGGTTCGAATCCAGGCTCTGTCGCAGCCGGCCGCGACCGGGAGACTCATGGGCGGCGCACAATTGGCCCAGCGTCGTCCAGGGTAGGGGAGGGAATGGCCGGCAGGGATGTAGCTCAGTTGATAGAGCATGGCGTTTGCAACGCCAGGGTTGTGGGTTCGATTCCCACGGGGGGCCAGTATACAAAAATAAATATATGTATTCACTAACTGTAAGTCGCTCTGGATAAGAGCGTCTGCTAAATGACTAAAATGTAAATGTAAAAATGTGTGTAAACTTCTGACTTCAACTGTACTTGAGAGATTTGTTTATGACAGTTTGCGGTGGAACACGTGAAAAATGTATGTACTTTCAGAAATGTTTGGCAAGCTGCTCATAGGTGGTCTGAGAGCTACTGGTAGCTGGAGATCGACCTCTTGGAGACCCCTGTTCTACTCCAATCTACACTTCTTTATTGGTGTAACAAATGGCCTTGGCCACAAGGTGGCGGCCTACATACATGCTTTACTTTGCTGTGTTTGCTCTGAATCACATGTTCCAAACAAATGCAGCACATCTCAAGGGTGCTTTGACCTAATAGGCCAAACAATTAGGACACAGTATGTTAGATGGACCCTTTACTAGGCTTACCAGACACATGAATGTCATTGTATCAGTACAATGATTTATGGCTCAGTTCGATTGTGGGTTCGATTCCCGAAGCCACCCACATGTAAAATGTATGCATGCATGACTATAAGGCGCTTTGGATAAAAGCGTCTGCTAAATATTATTATTATATTAGAGTCACTCACACCCACTCAGAACAGTTGGCATCCCCAGACAGCTCTCTCCCCAATACACACTGTCTCCGTCTCAGTCTATGCACTACTGTTCGGTCAACAGTTCTGTGTCTTCATGTAATGGTAAACCCCAGAGGAAGGGAAGAAAAGACTAAGCTGATTAACTCGTTCAAATCCCCGTCATTAAGCTCGTTAAACATTCCAGAGCCAATGGCACTGGAACACTGAGAGGAAAACAGAAAAAACTGTCCGATTATCTCCAGGAGATCATATGATCATATGTGGCTTGTAAGGAGCTATGCAGACATTCCAGAATCTGGGAACCCCGTGGGAGTGAGACCTTGGTTGGGAGTGGGTGGCTGGCAGCTTTGGCATTCACCCTCCCTTTCTACCCTGAGTCTTTGTTCTCCTAATCCCTAATTAAGGATCTAATTTAACTGAATCTTTAGCAGCGGGATCAATTAATAGAATGAAGCAGGTAGCTCCTGCTGGGAGGACTGACACAATAGGGTCAAAGGTACACACTGTCTCAGGCCTCTGGTGAAAACCAACACTAGTCAATCTGATGAAATAACTTTGTACTGTACTGTGCGTCATACAGAAATGACAGTATGTCATTACTAGTCAGTGATACTATATCAAGTGTATGCTAAGCGGAAGACAAGGCAATTGCGGACAATAAAACCCTCCAACAATATTGTCAGTTTTTCTAAACAATGACTCTCTCTATGTTCTGACTGTATCTGACCAGCCAAGTAAATATGGGTGTTTCCGTATGAATTTGTTACCCTGGGGCAAACCAAGCGTTGACTCACCATGCTGTTGAGGCGGTCTGAGTCATCATAGCTCTCACAAGGGTGCGTCCTGGGTCCGAGGGGCTCCAGATCCTCCTCGTCCCACATGTAGGTGCCCCCCGAGCTGTTGGAGGGGGACAGCTCCTGAGACGAGCCCTGAAGGAAGTCTCCTCTCTCTGGGGGCAGGATGCCAAGGGCTGTCCTCACCCCCACTTCCTCCTTCCGCCCTGCACAGGGGACACACACAGGCCAAACATTTCATACTGTACATTTTACTCACTATCAGAAATGACGGAACTGAAGCACTGTTATCAAAGCTCTAGAGCGGTTAATTGTGGCAACTAGTAGTAACAAATCACAACAGCAGAAGATGATTTTAGCAGGTGTTTTTTATTTTAATGTTACCTGAGAGGCCCATCCCATCCCAGTCCATGGTCTCATTCAGGAAGCTCCGCAGGCGGGTCTGAGTGGCAATACTACCCCTCGTCCTGTTGTCTGGGACATCCCCGTCAGCCAGGTTATCAAAGTCATCCAAGAACTCCTCGCTGGTGTCTCCTCGAGAGAGAGATGAGGCTGAGGAGAGAGACATGTCCTCTAGCCCCTCCCCTGTCCCCCTGAGCTGCCCCCCTGAGGTCCTGTCACTGTCACTGAGGGGATCTGGGGTGAGGGTGAGGGGGGGCGACTCTGCCCTATCCCCTTCCCCCACCCCTCCAGCCCTGACCTCCCCCTTCACCCTCCCTGTAAACAGGGGTTTCTGCTGCTTGACCTGCCCAGGCCGCGTCAGTCTATAGCCCAGAGCAGAGGGCTTGTTCAGAACACAGTTCGGGAGAAGAGGCTTTTTCAGGCCACTAGGGGTTGTGGAGGGGGAGCAGGCTGAAGAGAGGCTCCTAGGATACTGAAGCCCCCCCAGACTTGTCCCCAGGCTGAGGCCCATCCCCAGGCCCAGCCTCCCATTCGACAGCTGGTGGGGTTTGATGTGGTTGGTCCTGGGTGGTTGTAGCTGGGTGTTGGCCAGAGGCTTGGCCAGCTCCACTGCCCGGTTAAAGGAGAAGGAGCGTGCCATGGGCAAGTTGGTCGGGGATGGGATCTGCTTGAAGTGGGTGAAACTCTGCGAGCGCACCATGTTGTCCAGAGTGAGGGACTTGAGGCTGTCACTTGACTGGGACAGGCTATCTCTCGAGCTGCTGCGCGGGGAGCTGGAGCTGGCCCGCAGCCTCACCAGCCCAGAGACTGACCGTCCTGAACAATCAGTAGCTCCATTCTGGCCTAGTTTGGAGCCTCCACTGAGGGAGGTGCTCTGCCCCTGTCTGGGCCCTGCCTTGGGGCTGTTTTTTTCTGGTTGGCGGGGGATGGCCCTGGGGCTGGAAGTAGAGGACACAGACGAACCAGACCTCCTGACCTGCTTAGGGGTGGATGCGGAGGGTTTCTTGATCTCCTTCCCCCATGTGGAGTGCTGAGTCTTGGGCTTGTCCCCTCCCTCCTTTGGGCATGCATCACCTTCAGGGCTAGTGGGGGTGGTCGGAGTACTACCACCGTCTTTCCTCCATTTTAGAGAGAAGGAGGAGGCGCGGACCACCCCATTGGGTCTTGCTGGGGGGGTGGTCTTGCCGTCTTGGGGTGGAGGGGTGGGCTGGGTGGTTCCATTGGGCAGGGGGCTGGCGGGGCGGACACCGAACTTAGGCAGTCTGGACACCATGGCAGGCTTGATGGGAGCCTTCTCTTCCATCAGCTGCCAGCACAGTCATAGAGGTGCACAGTAGACAGTATCACCCAGGGCTGCTGAGAGAGAGAGAGGGGGAGAGAAGGAGAGCGAGGGGGAGATAGGGAGAGAGAGGGGAGAGATGGGGAGAGGAGCGAGGGGGAGAGGGAGAAGGTGAGAGCTAAAAATGACATACTTTCATGTATGCGTGTGAAAAAAATTTTTTTAGCAATGTCTTACAACAACAGTCTGATACATCTATAAATCTAAAGATTATCAAGGCCTAAACATGTTTGCTAGCATTACTTTCAAAAGCCTCTGCGTGTTGCCAAATCATTCCTGCAAAAGAATAACATCTCCAAAAGTTTCCAGTTTAATGAAGATTTCATTAAATTAATGGATGAAAGATAGTATACTGAACAAAAATATAAACGCAACATGTAACAATTTCAAAGATTTTACTGAGTTACAGTTCATATAAGGCCCTAATCTATGGATTTCACATAACTGGGCAGGGGCACAGACATGGGTGGGCCTGGGTGGGCATAGGCCTACCCACTGGGGAGCCAGGCCCAGCCAATCAGAATGAGTTTTTCCCCACAAAAGGGCTTTCTTACAGAGAAATACTCCTCAGCATCCCCCCTCAGACGATCCCGCAGGTGAAGAAGCCGGATGTGGAGGTCTTGGGCTTGAGTTGTGAGGCCTGTTGGATGTACTGCCAAATTCTCTAAAACGACGTTGGAGGCAGATTATGGTAGAGAAATTAACATTATATTCTCCGGCAACAGCTCTGGTGGACATTCCTGAAGTCAGCATGCCAATTGTACGCTCCCTCAAAACTTGAGACATCTGTGGCATTATGTTATGTGACTGCACATTTTAGAGTGGCCTTTTATTGTCCCCAGCACAAGGTGTACCTGTGTAATGATCATGCTGTTTAATCAGCTTCTTGATATGCCACACTTGTCTGGTGGATGGATTATATTGGTAAAGGAGAAATGCTCACTACCAGGGATATAAACAAATTTGTGCACAACATTTTGGAGAAATAAGCTATTTGTGCGTATGGAAAATTTTGGGGATTTTTTATTTCAGCTCATGAAACATGGGACCAACCCTTTACATGTTGCGTTTATATTTTTGTTCAGTATGTTGTAGCAGTGAGACAGACAATGACATGATGTCATGATTCCTAGATTAGTAATAATTAAATTGGGTCAATGACTAGACAGGATACCGGCATTGACACAAGGATTCCGGCCCTACAGCGTTCTGTGTCGAGCATGGCAGTCTGGCACAAGATCAACGCTAACACATTGTTCTTTTTTTCTATGCAAAGATATGCAAGTTGAAAAGAGTAGACATTCTGGAGTCAATCCCTGATAGACTAAATTATTGGCAGACTAAATAGCCTTGGTTTCTCAAATGACTGCCTCGCCTGGTTCACCAACTACTTCTCAGATAGAGTTCAGTGTGTCAAATCGGAGGGCCTGTTGTCTGGACCTATGGCAGTCTCTATGGGGGTGCCACAGGGTTCAATTTTCGGGCCGACTCTATTCTCTGTGTATATCAATGATGTCGCTCTTGCTGCTGGTGACGCTCGGATCCACCTCTATGCGGACGACACCATTTTGTATACATCTGGCCCTTCATTGGACACTGTGTTAACAAACCTCCAAATGAGCTTCAATGCCATACAACACTCCTTCCGTAGCCTCCAACTGCTCTTAAACACTAGTAAAACTAAATGCATGCTCTTCAACCGAACGCTGCTTGCACCCGCCCACCTGACTAGAATCACTACTCTCGACGGATCTGACCTAGAGTATGTGGACAACTACAAATACCTAGGTGTCTGGTTAGACTGTAAACTCTCCTTCCAGACTCACATTAAGCATCTCCAATCCAAAGTTAAATCTAGAATTGGCTTCCTATTTCGCAACAAAGCCTCCTTCACTCATGCTGCCAAACATGCCCTCGTAAAACTGTCTATCCTACCGATCCTTGATTTCGCCGATGTCATTTACAAAATAGCCTCCAACACTCTACTCAGCAAATTGGATGTAGTCTATCACAGTGCCATCCGTTTTGTCACCAAAGCCCCATATACTACCCACCATTGTGACCTGTACGCTCTTGTTGGCTGGCCCTCACTACATATTCGTCGCCAAACCCACTGGCTCCAGGTCATCTATAAATCACTGTTAGGCAAATCCCTGTCTTATCTTAGCTCACTGGTCACCATAGCAACACCCACACGTAGTCTGCGCTCCAGCAGGTATATCTCACTGGTCATCCCCAAAGCCAACACCTCCTTTGGCTGCCATTCCTTCCAGTTCTCTGCTGCCAATGACTGGAACGAACTGCAAAAATCTCTGAAGCAGGAGACTCTTATCTCCCTCACTAACTTTAAGCGTCAGTTGTCAGAGCAGCTTACCGATCACTGCACCTGTACACAGCCATTCTGAAATTAGCCCATCCAACTACCTCATCCCTATATTGTTATTTATTTTGCTAATTTGCACCCCAGTATCTCTATTTGCACATCATCTTTTGCACATCTATCATTCCAGTGTTAATTACGAAATTGTAACTATTTTTGCACTATGGCCTATTTATTTATTGCCTTACCTCCATAACTTACTACATTCGCACACACTGCATATATATTTTCTGTTGTATTTTTGACTTTATGTTTCGTTTACCCCATATGTAACTCTGTGTTGTTGTTTTTATCGCACTGCTTTGCTTTATCTTGGCCAGGTTGCAGTTGTAAATGAGAACTTGTTCTCAACTGGCTTACCTGGTTAAATAAAGGTTAAATAAAAAAAATAAAAATAAAATAGACAGAATCCTTTGTTGGACTGTCCAGTACTAGAAACAACCGTCTGTTATTTCACTTCATGAATATCAGTCTTTTCCTCTTAATCTACAGCGCTAGATTTGTAAACCACAGACAATGAAGAATGAACTTTGACAGATGTCTGGTGGACTTTCCCCATTGTCTTCTGTATTCATTACCACTTTAGATATGTTTAGATGGGACCTCTGGGTTTCCCCCAGTTTAACAAAGCTGACAGATGAGTCACAGCTACCTTATCATAAAAACACCATAGGCTTTTTGATATCACAGAACAGTAGGGCATAATAGTGAATCATATATTCCTAGTTAAATAAATAAATATTTGGTTCAAAAGGAGGGGGAAGTTTTACGTTTACATTTACGTCATTTAGCAGACGCTCTTATCCAGAGCGACTTACAGTTAGTGCATACATTTTCATACTGGCCCCTCGTGAGAAACAAACCCACAACCCTGGCATTGCAAGAGCCATGCTCTACCAACTGAGCTACAGGGGACCAGTATAGCTTATAGGTATAGCTTCCTTTTCTTGCAGTACCTGGTAAAGAACCTTCATCTTCCTTATCCAACGGTTCCCCATTCCCAGACCCATTACTACTAATCTGGATCAGCTCCAGAACAGAGGCTGCATTGAGTCAGCACACACACACACACACACACACACACATCACTAGCACATTAGAGGCTGCTGCTGCCTATTGGAATCACTGGCCACTTTAATAATGTTTACATATCTTGCACTACTCATCTCATATGTATATACTGCATTCTGTTCTATAATATTCTACTGTATCTTAGTCCATGCCGCTCTGTCATTGCTTGTCCATATATGTATATATTCTTAAATTCCATTCCTTACTAGATTTGTGTGTATTGGGTATATGTTGTGAAATCGTTAGATATTACTTGTTAGATATTACTGCACTGTCGGAGCTAGAAGCACAAGCATTTCGCTACACCCGCAAAAACATCTGCTAAACACGTGTATGTGACCAATAAAATGTGCTTTGATTTGATTTGACACACACACAGAGGCACAAAGCAGGTCACTTCATAATGACAATGATAAGGGCTGTTCTTAATTCCTTGCTGCTGCTGATATATGTGCCGGTCCCCTTAAGAAGGTCAGAAGATTGTGGAGGAGGGGAATTTGCATGTCCGGCTTATCTGACACTGGGATATTGTGACAAGTATGGTCTATTTCCTTCATGAGCACGGATAAACTGCTACACTGCGTTGCTCGTCCAAGGGCCATGCACACTGGCACCATTGTTTTTTCATTGTCCATCATCAGAGAAATCCCTCAAAAGGGTAAATTCCAGATAGTTATGTGAACTATAGTGGCTCAAGAGGAAACTCCAGGGAAGTTTTAGTTGGTCAATTTCAGAACATAATGGGGTAAAGAGGAAATGTGTTAATAGAAGGAAATAGAATGTTGAAGTGATGTGTAACTGCCATTCCCAACCCCACAGTGCAGCCATGTGAGATGCTGACATCAGAACCTGAGGGTAAGGTGCCAAGAGGGCTGGCCAAGTACAGGACAGGATCCCAAGTAGGACACTGAGGCTGGGACTCAGGCTTAAGCCATTGGTGAGTTTAGGCCTAACTCCATTCTCTTTCAGTTATAGCCATTCAATTCAAATAATTCATGCAGCCTGGGTGTTCTGGGAAGTCTTTGTTCTGACTCCAGTGAGAAGCCTGTCAAATTTGCTGTCAAAAGAGACACCATTGTATAAACCTGTAATAACTGGCAGTTAACTTCAAACATACATCATTCTAGATTACTAATATGAGTTTCCATAGTATTCATACACAACCACAGAATACAGGGTGCTAGTTAACCTAATACATACAGATACCTACTGCTCTATTGGTAAAGGGATATTCCACGGTAACAGAGGGACACAGACTCCAATTTGTCACTTTCAAATGTATGTCAAACAAAAAACAATAATTGCAAAATTAAACAAACCATGCAACTATGCACAAGGACTACTTATAACAATTTCCAACGACATTTTTATAAAAATAAATGTACTTGAAGAACAGTGCAGATGCAAGGTTTGGTAACAGAATGACGACAGAAACAGCACAAACTGTCATTCAGTTAACAAACTTTGCAACTGCACTGTTCTTCAAGTAAATGTGATTTTGTTGACATTTGTT